GATATAGCAGACAGACACAAATTCAGAGATCCTCACTGGCTCCTAGTCTCTCAGACGGTTCACACTGTTGGAGCATTGTTTAAGTTGGGTGCCTCAGATATTATCGGAGTGGTTGAGAGCTGTGACATGGAACTATTGTAACTGCTGCCAATATGATGGGCATTCACCGACAACTCTTGTCTCCCTCGTTGTGTGCCAGATGCATTGTGTGTGGATTGGTAGCTGTTTGACAGAGGGGTATCATCTGATTGATACCCCCCAGAACGTGTGGTTCCTGCAACATTGGAAATACCTCCGGATGGATGAGGCATCTTGCTTCTCTCTGGTTGGATGGAATTGTATGAGATCCATTATGCAAGGAAAGAGGACTTCTGTTACTTCACTGGTGTGATGGTGCCTGGTAAACTGTGATACGGCAGTGTTACCAGTTCATGCTTGATGGGTCCCCTGGTGTAGAAATTTAGGACCATGTGATCTTCCTGGCCACTGGCCATTTATGCCCTGAGTAGGAGAGGGGGAAAGTCCCAGTGAACATGACCAGTAACTGCACCTTTGGTGAAGTATATGTGCGTGAGCTGTTGCTCATTGCTCCAGTAAAGTTCTCCAATGACACGTATCTGCATTTGTAGATGCAGTTCTCCAGTGTGAGGCTTGCTTGCTCTCGCTGTGGCAGAGGTCCGTCCTCTCCTCCATGTACCCTGTGTCTCTGTCACACTGCAGCCTGAGAGAGCGTGCACCAATTTTCCCCGCTATAGTGAGAATAGTCTTACCCCTGGTGGACCTTCTGACCTGCCTCAGACCCCTCTCAGCACCATTCTGTGGTGAATCCAAACTTTGAATGTAGTCCTTCCACTCCCTCTGTCCAGTGATGTCTGTTTAGTTTGGGATGGGGGGGATTTGGAATGGTGTTTCGCATGAAGCTGATGCGAAGCTAGCCCAGCATGTTTACGTGTCAGTTAATGTATGAGCTTGAATCAGGAGCATCCGCAGGACGTTCGGCCCCTCGAGCCTGCTCTGCCAATCAATAGCAGCACAGCTGATCAGATTGTAACCTCGACTCCACGTTCCGACAGACCCCCAAGAACCTTTCACCCCTTTCCAGATGGGTCAGAAATGGTGGACTGTGCAAAATCGACTCTACACGCTGTTTGAAATCACATCCTTCTGCTTGGTTCAAGAACTCACATGACTCATTCATGTGAGCGCCCTTACAGACAGAGAAATGCCAAAATATAGAAAATAGGAGCCCCATGAATGCCTTAACAGACAGAGAAATGCCAAAATATAGAAAATAGGAGCCCCATGAGTGCCCTTACAGACAGAGAAACACCAAAACATAGAAAATAGGAGCAGGAGTAAGCTATTTAGCTCTTCGAGCCTGTTCCACCATTCAAAATAATCAAGGTCAAAAATCCCACAACACCACGTTATAGCCAAACAGGTTCATTTGAAAACACAAGCTTTCGGACCTTCGCTCCTTCTTCAGGTGTTAGTGAGGTGGTATCGGACACAGAATTTATAAGTAAAAGATCTAAAGGTCACACGATTGATGAGGATGTATTAAACAAACCTAGGATGCTGTTAAATCTTTAATCAGTTCGAAGGTTTTAATTGATTAATATGTATATGTAAATGCCCGAATTACTTTCAAGTCACTGCCCTGAGAGATCTAAAAGTTTTTTTGAGTGTAAAGATGACATATGGATGATAATGGAATAGTTTAGGTTAGGTGGGCTTCAGATTGGTTTCACAGGTCGGCGCAACATCAAGGGCTGATGGGCCTGTACTGCGCTGTAATGTTCTATGTTCTATGTTCTATGTTAGGTCAGACAATTCCAGTGAGGCATGAGGCCTTGTTTAGAATCTGTTGTGTTTTGGTTTGGAGTCAGACTGGTTTTAGTTCAACACGGATACCTCCACAATATGATCAAGACTGATCATCCAACTCAGTCCCCTGTTCCCATTTTCTACCTGTAGCCATTGATCTCTTTAGCCCTAAGAGCTACATCTAACACCTTCTTGAAAACATTCAGTGTGTTGGCCTCAACTGCAGAGAATTCCAGAAACTCACCACTCTCTGGGTGAAGAAAATTCTCCTCATGTTAAACCTCAATGGCCTACCCTGTCTCCCTAGCATATGACCCCTGATTCTGAACTCCCCAGTCATCAGGAACATCCCTTCTGTGTTTAACCTGTCTGTCTCTGTTAGAATTTTATGGGCTTCTATGAGATTCCTCCCTCATTTTTCTAAACTCAGCTCTAACTGATCCAGTCTCTCTTCATACATTCCATGAATCAGTCTGGTAAACCTTTGCTGCACTCCCATCATGGCCAGAACATCCTTCCTCAGATAAGGGGACCAAAACTGCACACTATACTTCATCTGTGATCTCACCAAGCTCCCGTACAATTTCTTTTTTCTATATTCATTCATGGGTTGAGGGCATTGCTGGCTATTACCCATCCCTAATTGCCCTGAGGGCAATTAAGAGTCAACCACATTGCTGTGGGTCTGGAGTCACATGCAGGCCAGACCAGGTAAGGATGGCAGTTTCCTTCCCTAAAGGACATTAGTGAACCAGATGGGTTTTTCCTGACAATTGGCAATGGATTCATGGTCATATTAGATTTTTAATTCCAGAATTTTTTTTATTGAATTCAAATTCTGCCATCTGCCATGGTGGGATTCTAACCCGGGTCCCCAGAACATTATCTGAGTCTCTGGATTAGCATCCAGCGATAATACCACTGGTCCATTGCTTCCCAGCAACAACCCTCCCCCGGGAGCAGTCTCAATCTTGGGAGACTGTCTGTATGGTGTTTGCATGTTCTCCTCATGTCTGTGTGGGTTTCCTCCGGGTGCTCCAGTTTCCTCCCACTGTCCAAAGGTGTGCAGGTTAGGTGGATTTGCCATGCTACAGTGTCCAGGGATGTATGAGATAGCCATAGTGCATGTGGGGTTATGGAGATAGAGTGGGGGGATAGGTCTGGTTGGGATGCTCTTTGTAGGATCAGTGCAGACTTGATGGGCCAACTGGTCTCTTTTTGCACTGTAGGGGTTCTATGATCTTTGGATGTATTCCAGTAATTGATCTTAACCATTTCACATGCCTGGATTTTTGTTTTATAATCACCTCACTTTGACTTCTGTATTCTAAATGATTTGATAAATTGATTGGCATCTGCTGTACATTTAATGTACACTTTCAGCAACAAAAAGGGTACTTTCTGGATGATGGGAAATTAAATACAGTGAATATCCAAAGATACTTGAGGGTTCAAGTGCATAAATCTTTAAAATGCCAGAAACTGGTGTAGAAAATAATCAAGAAAGCTAATGGAATGCCTAGCAGACTGGAGTACAAGGATGCACAAATTATGCTGCAGTTATACAAAACCCTAGTTAGACCCCACTTAGTGTACTGTGAGCAGATCTGGGCCCCACACCTTAGGAAGGATAGATAAACTTACAAGAATCATACCTTGAATGCAGGGGTTAAGTTACAAGGAGAGATTATACAAATACAAATCTTTCCCTTCTGGCTCTATCCTATCATTTACTCCCTACCCCATCCCTCTCCCTATTTTCTGCATATAAGCTGATGTTTTCCGCTACCATCAGTTCTGAGGAAGGGTCACCGGACCCGAAACGTTTACTCTGATTTTTTTCTTCACAGATGCTGCCAGAGCTGCTGAGCTTTTCCAGCAACTTCTGTTTTTGTTCCTGATTTACAGCATCCGCAGTTCTTTCCGTTTTTATTATCTGAATTAGGCCTGTTTTCTCTAAAATTTAGAAAGTTAAGGGATGATCTGATTAAAGTCTTCAAGCTATTTAAAGGAAAAGACAGGGTAGATGGCAATAAACAATTTCCACTGGCTGGACATTCTAAAACTTAATTTCAAAAATTAAGACCAGACCTTTCAGGAGAGATGTTAGGAAGCACTCCGACACACAAAGGATGGGAGAGGTTTGAAGCTCTCTTCAACAAATTCTAATTGATGCTGGATCAGTTGTTAATAATTTTTGCTTAACAAAAAATTATCCATCTCACAATTGAAATGAAGGGATATGGCTAAAGGCAGGTGTATTGAGTTAGGCCACTGATCAATCATGATCTCATTTAAATGGTGGAGCAGGCTCGAGGAGTTGCATGGCCCACTCCTGTTCTATCATTGAAGTAACAATGTATTAAAAATTGAATTTTGTCTTGTTGCGCACGTTTATCTCATAAATGGCTTCAACATGAGGGGAGATGATGGCCTTAGTGGTATTATCACAGCACTGTTAGTCCAGAGACACAGATGATGTTCTGGGGACCCAGGTTTGATTCCCACCCTGGCAGACAATGGAATTTGAGTTCAATTTTCAAAGAATCTGGAATTAGGAGCCTAATGATGATAATGAATCCATTGTCGGGGAAAAATTCATCTGGTTCACTAATGCCCTTTTGGGAAGCAAACTGCCATCTTTACCTGGTCTGACCTACAATATAACTCCAGACCCAAAGCAATGTGGTTGACTCTTAATGCTCTGTGGGCAATTAGGGATGGGCAATAAATGCTGGCCTAGCCAATGACACCCACATCCTCTGAATGAACTAAAAAATAATAGTGGTGAGGCAGCTCTAAGATGGATTTTACTTTATTTAAAAAAGAAAGGTTAAATGGCTGGGAACTGTTGCTGCTTCGTGGTTTTGACTTGTATATGAATTGGATTGTACACCTTTTAATTACCGTGGTATCATCAGTCACCATGATGCTTCGATTCCAGTTAATGTATGAAAAACTGCTCATTGCCATTCCTCAGAATATTCTTCAGAAATCATTTCTGCATTCCTCCTGGCTTAATGGCAGACAAAAGTGCAACTTCCAATTATTGCTGGCTTCTGGTTACAAAAAAAAAACACAGCGGAGGGATAAGTTTTTCTGAAGGCAGCTTGCTGGTCTCCTTTTAAATTATTAAGACGATTAAAATTATACTTTGCTTTACTTCTTCAAAGGACATCAAAGGAAAATATATATACAAAATAACTAGGATTCTACCGTAAAGAGAGACCCTTTGAGATTCTTCACTGAAACACAGCCTTCTGGTGGAAGGAGCATCATTATCCGTATTGTGCTGGAGATGGTGGAAGAAATTCTTTTTCCTGGACTCTTTGATCTGAAGAAAGCCTGACGCTCGAAGAAGAATGAAATGAATCCCTTGCAGACTCTTTCTAGGTCTTTTATATAAATTCATTGTACTTTGTGAGATCTTTTGCTTCTGTAATTTGTTTTGTGTGAATAAATTCAAGCTATAGCTTTAGCCTGTATCAACTGGGTGCCGAGTGTAATGTTTGTCCATGTTTTGAGATATAGTGAAAATCCTGCTTCGTGGTTTCTGTTCTTCTACCCCTAAGTTTCAAGATTATTTTGGCTCTTGTAGTGAAAGTTAACTAAAGATAAAGTCGCCATTGTCTTTGCAGACCATGGCATTGCTCTGTCATTAGAGAGCCACTGGTGGTGGTTTAAGCTGGGGGGGTCACCATGTCTCAGACAAGGGGGGAGGTTGAGAAGGAGAGTCCTTCATGGTTACCTCAGCCAGTGCAGGAATTGAACCCATGTTGTTGGCATCACAAACCAGCAATCCAGCAAACTAACCCCACAAGTCACCTAACCAGTGGTGTGTTCAAATTCCCTTGTCATTGCTATGGGCACAAGCAATTTGCATGCAAGTTGTAGTCTGGAACTATGTTGATCAGAGAAATATCAAGATTCTTTCTGTTGCATTTCTTGCCAGCGACCTCTCCTGCACTTAGCAGGTGTATGAGAAAGATTTTCAGGTTGATCCTCAACCAGTTGGCTGTGTTTATGAACATACCTTCTTTGGCTAAAAGGAAGGATATGTTCATAACACAGCTGGGCAGTGACTTGAACCAGGACCTCTGGCATACAGACATAGACCCCATCCACTGCACCACAGAGTCAAATTGAGCAGGTTCAAATTTTCTACTTTTTGCAGAAGTTTTAATGTTAAGGTCCAGGATTCGTTTGGAGCATGGCGACTGCAAATGGGTTATCCAACCATTTCCACCATTCTGTGAGACTATGGGCTGAACTCAGCTCTAACTTCATCAAACACATTGATCCCAGTTTTTCTTCCATGGGACATGGGCATCACTGGCAAGGCTAGCACTTGTTGCCTAACAAACATGGCCTTTAACAGAGTGGTTTGCTCAGATATTTCAGGGAGCAGATAAGAGTCACCCACATTGCTGTGGGTCTGGAGTCACATGTAGGCCTTACTGGGTAAGGGACATCAGATTTCCTTCCCTTAAAGGCATGAGTGAACCAGATAGGTGTGCTTTCTTTTTACAACAGTGATTATCTGGTTGTCATTAGGGCCAGTTCACTGAATAAGATAGCTCTTCACAAAAAAGAATCAATGAAGCTTTGCATCAATGAATCAAAGTGGGGGCAGGGGGTGCAGTGGCTCAGTGGTTAGCACTGCTGCCTCAGGGACCCAGGTTTGATTTGACCATCCAGCAACTGTCTGTGTGAAGTTTGCATGTTCCCCCCCCTCCCCGCGTCTGCATGGGTTTCCTCCGGGTGCTCTGGTTTCCTCCCACAGTCCAATAATGTGCAGTTTAGGTGGATTGGCCATTATAATTGCCCATAGTGTGCAGGGGTGTGCAGGTTAGATGGGTTAGTCATGGGAAATGCAGGGTTACAGGGAGAGGGTAGAGGGTGGGTCTGAGTGGGATGCTCTTTGGAGGGTCAGTTTGAACTTGATAGGCTGAATGGCCTGCTTCTATGTGATTCTATGATTGTGGTCACCATCACTAAGACAAACTTCACATCCCATACTTATTTATTGAATTAACATTTCACTAGCCATAAACCAGAGGGGCAATTTTTTCACATGGAGGATGGTGAGTGTCTGGAATGGGCTGCCAGAGATAGCAGTGGAAGTGAGTACAATGTTGTCATTTAAGAAATATTTAGACAGGTACATGGATGGGATAGGTATGGAGGACTGTGGACCAAATACAGGCAAATGGGACAAATTTAAATTGTGAAAACTGGGCAGCATGGGCAAGTTGGGCTGAATGGCCTACTTTCATGCTGTAGACCTCTACAACTCTATGACTATGGTGGGAATTGAACCTTATGTCTCCATAACTTTCAACTGGACCTCTGGATTAACTAGACCAGTGATATTCTTGCTACAACAATATCACCCCTTTTCCTTTGGTTTCTTGGCTAATAAAAGCCATCAACCTCCTATTTAACACGGTTAATACTTTAGCATTGATTGCTCTACATAAGAGACAGTTCCCCATTTCTACCACGTTTTGTGTGAACAAATGTTTCCTGATTACTCATGAAGGTTTGGTTCTATTCTGAAGGTTATGTGTCCCCCAGACTTTTCCAGCAGCAAAGTTTCTTTTGCCCTATCAATCCCTTTCAGACTCTTGGGAAAAAAAAAATCAAACAAATCACTTCTTAACCTTTCGTGTTCCAATTACTACAAACCTCTCCTTGCAGCCAAATCCATCCACTTCTGGTGATTCTTCATTCCACTGCCCTCCTTTTGAGGTCAATATACGTGAGATATCTGGAAAGAGGCAATATTTCTGTTAGAAGGTGGCGAATGTGTAGAATTCTTCACCACAGAGGGTTTCTAAGTATATTCAAGGTTGAGATAAACAAGTTTTTAATCAGGAAGAGCATCAAAGGTCATGGGGAAAAGGCAAGCAAGTGGAATTGAGGATTACCAAATCAGTCATGATGTCATTGAATGTTGCAGGGACTTAATGGCCTGAATGGTCTACTTTTGCTCAAATGTCTTATGATCTTATGCTAATTTACTTTGGCTCCTCATTGGACTTGTGCTAGATTGCATCCCAGCCACTCAAAGATCATGAGATCCTTACAACAGATGTCATTTTAATTGAAGATGTGGCTGAATGATTCAAGGCTCATTGGTGATGAGATATGGGACAGATGATAACCTGAGGCAGGATGGCATGGGGGAAGAGACGCGCAACATCCTCCCACTGCAATGCCAGTCAGTGACACATTGAAGCCTGGCTGGAGCCCCGTCTCACCTTCAAGGGACACTTTGCCCAGGCTGATGAGGCCCGTGACTGCCTAGTGTGGGGCTTGCTTGTAGGGGTCTCTTGTATCCTGTGCTTCAACCCCCATCTCCACCCAGACCCTGCCCCCAAACCCGACAAGAACCCCCAGCCCTGCTGCCATGACCCTGACATGTCCAGAGGCCACTCTGTGATTGGCTTGTTGTCATTGCTGAGGCTGCAGTCCCAGTCGTGGCCACCACCATTGTGGGCGCTGCTGAGCTGCCAGCAGTTCCCTCCTCACCCTCCATCCACCTCCCCCCACCATCCCTCTAACCACTTCCTCACACCCCTTCTTCCATGACAGGACTGACATTTCTTGACTGGGGCCTGCTGTTCTCAATAGAATCGAAGATCTGGAGGTAGCTCTGACACCGTGACATTTCTGACATTCACCAAAACTGGTTCAATAACCAGGCTCCCCACCCCATCCCCCCTGGCCCTCCCACTGGCTTGCATCATCTCCTCAAATTTCAGCTGATAAAACAAATTAATTAAACAAAAGATGATCAGCTACTTATGTGTTCAGTATATTTAAAGTTCATTTGCTCTAGATAAATCTGAATGGACTAAAATAGTAAAAATAAGATTACCACAGTAGAAGCTAAGCCCTCTGAGACATTGTCTGAAAAAATAATTTTTTCTCTCATTTGAATTTTCTACTGCTGTAGCAGCCAATTGGATGTGCAAGTCCAATCCTCACTTGGGTTTCAACCAGATTTGTTTCTTTTCAAATGACTTCTGATTGGTAAAACAATGGGTTCTTTTGCATTTCCTGAAAAATGATGTGTGGGGTTTGTTTGCTCAGATTTTCCAAACTCCTCAATCACTGCAAACTGCACCCCACCCATGCAGCACTTGCGAAAACTGAATGACTTTCACTGTGAGTTTAAATTAAGAAAATCTGCAACAGACTTGCGGGGCTGAAAGGTCTGTTTGTATTTCTCACATCTCTACTGAGTGGCTGAATGGTCTTAAACTGTTAGTTGATCTTAGTATAACAACTGATGTTGTAAATGATGATTTAGCTTCTTGATGGAACTTCTTACAGTTCACTGTTGCAAGTCGGTCCACATTAAGGCTGCTCCTTCCTTTGGTGCTGTTTCTTCTCTGTTGACTTCACTGGTACACTCAAGCTGTCAGCTATTCCTGGAAGTTTCAAGAAAAAAATTCTTTCATGGGATGAGAGTGTTGCTGGCTAGGTCACTATTTATTGCCTATCCCTAATTGCCCAGAGGGAAGTTAAGCATTAACCACATTGTTATGTGATCTGCAGTCATATATAGGCCAGACCATGTAAGGATGACATTTTACTTCTCTATAGTGAACCAGATGGGCTTTTCCCCAACAATTAGCTCTTAATTGCCAGATTTTTTTTTTATTGAATTTGAATTCAAATTCCACCATCTGCTGTGGCAGGATTTGAACATGGGTCTCTGGATTAACAGTCCAGTGATAATCCCACTAGGCCGTAACTTCCCCCAAAGGGCTTTAGTGAATCAGATGGTTACATGGTCACCATTACATTAGCCTTTTATTCAAAATTCCAGATTTTTAAAATCAAATTCAAACTTCGTCATCTGTCACAGTAGGAGTCAGATGTCTTCTGAAAATATTAGCCTGGGCTACTGGATTACTAGTCCTGAAATATCACCACCTCCATTTTTGCGCTCACAAGCTGCCCAGTCCAACAGACTCTCTTTCTTATCCCTAACATCTTTACAGGTGGTTAACAAAAAGGCGAAGTAAATTTACAAATGCACATAATTGTTCTTTTACCTCTGTTAAGATGCATCCTCCCTCATTGCTTGCAGCAATATCTAGGAATTAAAGGATCTTCTCAAGGGCAATTCGAGACAGGCAATAAATCCTGGCCTATCTAGTGACGTGCACATTGCCCTGACAGCATTTTCAAATAATTTTAAATTCATGGGGACTGCAGAACAGTTTTGGAGGGTCTGCAACCATTGATGGTGTGGGCCTATAGGCTATCTAGCTTGCAGTTTGGGTGACAGACAAGGTTGCTTTAAGTAGCTTTCCAGTCTGTGGTTGCATTTAAACAAACAAGCCTGAATCCAGAGTAAAAGGTATTTAACAATTCCTATACAAAATCAGCTATTAATTTGGATCTTCAATGTGGGAATATGACCAAGTTGTCAGGTCATGATGATGGTGTGTTTTTTTTGTCAGCATTT